TGTTAGTCTCCAATCCATGGACTGAGTTTTCAAAAATAAAGGGTGAAGAAACAGAAGGAAGGAATTTGTTTTAACCCTCAAACACAAAGCATGCTTAGTTTTGAAAATGTGTTTGAAATCTCCACACTTGCATCCATTAAAGCAATGCCATTAAAATCCATTAAAGCAGTAGATGCTACTGGCACACAAATATTTAAGTCACCTTGGCTGAAGAATTACTTAGCTGGTAGTAGATTGGCAAAAAACAGGCAGATGGTTTTTCTAATAAAATTAGGCTTACTTACACTGTGGAGATGAGATGCAATATAAGGTACTCAGCAGCCAAACTATCTCCTAAGAGGGCATGAGTAAGGAATCCAAGCAGCTCCGCTCGAACTGGGGACAGTTCAGACATGAAACTAGAAACAACTGATAAAAGAGCAAAGGACAATGAATATCAGAAGCACCCTGCATCTCCAAATGAGGCTTACCTTGCACTGTGTTAATCACAGACAGGGGAATGGTAAGTTCAGTGCCGAAGCACTTGAATTAACTTTTTTTTAGATTCAGGATTCTGTTCCTTAGCCCTCTGTTTTCTGAAGCAGAAAAATTCCCTTTATTTACGCTATTGGTGAGCATAATTGTAGCCTTGTGCACCAACCTGCCCTCTCTTCCTTAAATTAGGCAAAATCAGCTGTTATTTCCACTTAGTCGGTCTTAAATACAAAACCTTTTTCTCGCACACATAAAGCATATTTAAAGCACATTTGTTTAACTGACGACACTTTAAAATGCTGTTTTTGTTCATTTAACTGGATTCCAATTTCCATCCAAATTCACCTTGATCCGAGTCAGGAGTATAATGTGACCACGTGGTAGGAAATTCATCCTGCATTTTCTAGCAACTTAAAAGTAAAGCTCCTAATTAAATGAACTGATTATCAGTAATGCTGAGGAAGGGGTTGCTGCCACTGGCTGTCAGTCAGGCTGCTGTTTCTTCAGAGTTTTTTGGCATGGGTTTTGTTGTACAAAAATTACAGAGACAAAAATGATCTCCCTTTCCCTTGTTGGCTGTAAAGTGGGATTTCTGCTTCATTGATTACATATTTCTGTGGAACTCCTGCCTTCCTTTTCTAACTCATGCTAGTATAAAAAGTGCTGTTACTTTGGTTTTGAAGTACATCAGATCCCTCAAAAGAAGGGACCCAACTCCTGTCTCAGAAATGAAAGTCCGTTGCAAAAGGGACGTAATTCTAGAATACAGCACCTTGAGGATGCAACTCTTGTTAAATGAGGGTTACCTCCAGCGCGTTTTCTCTCTGCTGATAGTGATTTTTGCCCATCCACTGGCTGCCCCAGCATCCTGAAAGTGTAAATTTGAGCTTGAGCACATCAGCACTCCTTTCTCACTTGAGCGGGACAGAGAAGTCATGTGCAGGCATCACACGACCATCACTGGTTTCATTCTAGCACTGTAGGTCAGTGGTCTCCAAAGTGGGGTGCACAAAACGATCCATTGGGGTGCGGGAAGAAAATATTAGAACTTCTATTTATATTAATTTTTTCTCATCCTTTTTTAATTTCTATTTTTGTGTATGTCTTATAATGTACATAATATATTAGTACAGTAGTACATGTATATAATTTACAAATAAATATACATATATCGGGGGTGCGTGCTCAAAAAGTTTTTACTGATAGGATCGCACGATCAAAAAAGTTTGGAGGCCGCTGCTGTAGGTAATGAAATATCAGCATTACCTGAAGAGCTTATAACAATATTGGCTAGCCCACAATACGAACTGAATGAGTGGTTCTCTCTCTCATTTAAATACTTAGTTTAGGAATCCCTCTGCAAGGACCAAAGGAGACAGATGCTTCTGATTCAGTTTGTTTGTTCTGCACTAAAACAAACCTGTGCTGTCTGAACTGCCATATTATAAAAAAATTGTAAAAATGTCATGTCAAAGCCTGTCTGGTTAAATTTGGGATCTGAATAATACAGAAATGCAGTCATGGTCCCAGCAGCACTCCTCCTGTGAGATTTGCCTCTATCAACCAATTTTAAACTCCTGTTATGGGCATTTATCAATTTTTTTGCAAATCTGGTGCACTAGAGCCACTAAATTCCCTTCTTCATTAAGCATCTTTAAGCCTCATGTCAAATCTAACTGAAAGTCATGTGATTAGTCAATGAATCCAATCCATAAAACTGTTGTTTCCTAGAATGCATTTCAGTGTAAAGTACAAAAGTTAATTACTGAAGAGTTCTGATAACTTTAAGATAACCAGGCTGAAGTTTTGGGCATCATTATGTGCAATAGCTGGCATATAGCATTAATAATTACTTTGTTCAAAATCCACTATATAGATGATACATGGCTCACTCTCTGCTTTAAATGGTTTAAAGATGTCAAGGGATGCAACTAAAAAGTTCTGACATTGTTTTCATAATGGACTCTTGACTGTTGTTCTGGTTCAAACATTTTGCATCTAATTTCTATGAGAACTTTTAATGCTTTACAAAAACGAACCCTTATCTCACTGTAATACATTTTTATTACACATTTTTTTCAGAACAGCAAACAGAAGGACTCTTAAAACAGAGGCTTCACATAATTAATTTGGTGGGGGCAAATCCCCTGTTTTGCTAAAGATTAACAGAAACAACATAGTAAATTTCAAACTTGCATACAGTGCAAGTTTCTCCAGCTTTGGTTATGTTTTTTTCCCCCCATACTATATAATGGTATTGATTAATCTAAAGCACGTGGAAGGAATTAAAAAAAGAGACTTCACAATTTCCCTTCCTATTAGAAACCAAAGGGAAAATCCATCTGAGACCCTTTACTACATGCCAAGAGAGGTGATAAGATCAGGAGGACTTCTATGTTCTTTTTGTCATCTGCCATAAACATCCAATTAAAAACAGAATGATTCTGAATTATTGGACTGTAATCCTGTGTTAGAGCCAAAGCAGGTTTTCACTGTCATTTTCAAACAGTGTACTTCTAAATACCTTTAAAGGAAAAAAAAAAAGTAGCATGTTAACTCTCTACTCTGCTGAAGTTAGAGAAAGTTACTTCTATTTAATGGGTGGAAGGCTTTGACAAGGTCCCTCTCACTTTAGTTTTAAAACAATTTGGCTTGGACCCTTCAATTGCTTCTGGCCATATTCACCAGAGGAAATACCCTGTTGGACCTGGTCCTGGTCACAGGCGACGACCTGGTGAGGGGCCTCCAGGTTCTTGACCACCTGGGTGATAGCGACCATTGCTTACTGGAATTCACCATCCAGCGCAGGGTGTCAAGGGCCTGCAGCTAGGTGGTAGCCCTAGACTTCAAGAGGGCCAACTTCAACGAGTTGAGATTAGTGGGAGAGGTGCTGGGGTTCTCGAGGGCAGGGGAACTCAGTGCCCAAGATGAGTGGTTGTTCCTTAAGGAGACGATACTC